GCCTGTGTGCCGCCTTGACTCTGTTTACCTGCGCTTTTGTGACCTTAACAGAGTCAAGTCATTTTTAATACTACTTGAAACAGAATGGTTTTGTCCTGCTACCCTTGCCAGAGGCTTCTCTTCAAGCTTGTCCATGATATCTTTTCTCACCCTCCAACATTGCTCCTTTGGATCGCAGCATTGCTCAGGCCCCTGTTTCTTGCAGTCTCCCTTTCTAATCGGGTTTGTAAATAGAAGAGCTTAGAGGTCAGTACCTTTCTCAGATGACAGAACAAGGAGCAACGGTCTGAAGTTGCAGCAAGGGAAGTTTAGGTTGGATATTAGGAAGACTTTTCTCACTAGGAGGGTAGTAAAACACTGGAACCAGGTTACCTAGAGAGGTGGTAGAAGCTCCAGCTCTGAAGGTTTTAAAGACCCGGGTAGACAAAGCCTTGTCTGGGATGATCTAATTGGGGACGGTCCTGCTTTGAGCAGGGGGGTGGACTAGATGTGACCTCCTGAGGTCCCTTTCAACCCTCATTTTCTATAATTCCTGTAAATGTCTTTCTACCTCTAGCATATCCTGGTGACTTTCCAACTGTAATTACATTCTGGCTTTCTCTTTCTAGCAGCTGGGTTGCAATATATTTTGCTTCTTGACCCACACTATTTCTCTTGTGTCACTCTGCAAGCACCTCTTTGCAGTTGTGGAGGCTGTTTGTGCAGGGCTTAGCAAAACAGGATCCTGGTGTGGGTTGAAGCTCTCTAGAAGCCAGCGTAATTCAAACAACTGTTGCCTTGCTGCATCATGGAGGTCTTGCTTTTCCTCACCCAGGGCAGGCACATGGTGTGAGGGCTGAGCTGTTCATTGCTTTACGATCCCTGAGCTGAAAGGCATTCTCAAAGTGCAAAGTAGCTTCCCTTCAATTCCATGCAGAGTTGGTTTGTATTCAAGTCACCAATGCCTGCTTATCTAGAGATCCTGAGCACAGGTTTGAATTGCTGAAGAGGAGTCTCTCTCCTTGTCCAGTGGTTCTCAAACTTTTTTGTACCAGGACCCATTTGTAGACATTGGCCAGCCCCAACCTATGGCCCCTCAGTCCCGACCCGCTACCCCCAGGCCCCAGCCCCCGCAGGGTGTGTGGGGGGGGGGCCAAGCAGCCCCTTGCAGGCTGAAACTCTGCCAGCCTGCAAGAGAAAAGCTGCAGTTTCCCACATTTTTCAACTTTAAAGGAGAATAAATTTTTTAAGTTTGATCCATTTTTTTAAAGTCTGTTTGCAACCCTTTCAAATATTCTTGCGACCCATGGGTTGAGCAACCCTGTACTAGTCAAGTCAACTTGGAATGCACCTGCTGGCTTTCCTGCTTGCCAGTCCTGTTCCTAATGGGAACACTGGATGGATACTTCTAGGCTAAGAGCTGTGCAGTTGTTGCTTCCTTGGTCCTCTGTGTCGATGTGGGTACAACTCGTCGCGTTCCTCACCGAGCGTCTGTGATCTGTGTAACAATCTCTCTTTTGAAACTGGAGCTTGCTGCACTCAGTCCTTCCTGCCTGCCGGTGCTTGCTTTAACTCGCATCCCTTCTTTCTGTTTCCACATAAAAGGAAACCATTGCTCCGTTTAAAATCTCACTTTGAGAGAAGGCCAGCTGTTGGACTGTTGCTACTATGAAGTTGGGCTGCTAGTTGACCAGGAGGCTGAAAATGCAAGGTCTCCTCCACTGCTGGAATACAGTGGAGCCACTTCATGTCACGTGGATGTTATTTGAGGTCTTATCGTGAGCGTGGCACAAGGCCCGGCAAGATTAAAATACAACCTAATTCCCTGAGAATCAGAAACCTTCCAGGACTGTCTTGAGCCAAGCGGAGGAAGCTTTAGAAAACCATTTGGGGTTGTTGGACACCTGGGCCTGAGCCACTGCAGTGACTCAGCTCTTTCTGCACACCGTGCTCCCTGATGTGTGCATCAAAGCAGTATTTGTGTGTTGCAGCATCCTCCTGGGAGGAGGGCAGATAAGAGATGGGTTTGCCTGGGGAGGGCAAAGAGGATTGTAGCTTGCGTGCATCTTGTTTGGCAGTGACTAACAGCGTGCAGGTTTTGCAAACTCTGGACACCCCTCTCCTGAATTTCCTGTGTAACTTCTCTATTACATCCATTTCAGTGCATCTCTGCTGGCATTCATACCATCTGCATGTGGCTCATCTTCTGTCCTTCTATCTCCTTTGCATGTTTCCTGTCTTTAAATGAGATGCTAATACCGCTCTCCCAGATGAATCCACAAACAAGGCGTGTGCAGGCAGCAAGTGCAGCTGCCCAGACTGGATCCTCTTTCTCAAGTCTTGCAGCATCTGCTACCCATCTGCAGCTTCTCTCCACAGCACCTGCAGCCCTTATACCGCTGCTCCTCAACATGTTGGCTTGCCCCGAACAATACACTCCTGCCCAGGGTCTTTGGCTGTGTCCCAGCTTCTTGCATCTCAGTGGCTCAAGCACAAAAACCTTGGGCAAGAGAAACCTCAGTGTTGCTTAATTTCTGCTGGTTTTTCTGTTTTATTTCCTTTTTGCCCTCTGTTTCTTGGTCTTCCCCAGAATTTTCCTCCTCTATTGCTTCTCAGTCAGGCTGCTGCCTTGGTTCTCTGACTTCCAAAAGTCCTAGCTGTGAGCTGTGTGCTTTTTAAATAATCTCCCTCCTCAAGTACTGCAAACAGCTCTGTTGTCTTCCAAAAGTCCCCATCACCTGTGCTAAAGCGCATGACATTTGGCAACTTCCTACAACCGCCAAGAAGTAAGATTACATCATGTCTCCAGCTCCATCCTCATGTTGGTCTGCTTCAGAATAGCCCATGCTCCTAGCGCAGTGACTCTCAGTCAGGATGTCACGGCACCCTGGAGTGCCTTGAACTCTTTACAGGGGTGCTACAGGGCACCACACGATGTTAGCACTGGTAGGTGTGCAACCAGTTTGCAAGACAAGCGCAGATTTCAAATAGGCAATAGAGTGTTAAAAGCACTCTGGCCTGCTGTGGTCTGTCTGAATCCATTACAACAGAACCGCTGTTCTAGTGGTCTGGATTTCATTAAGGATCTTGTCAACTCTTCCCCTTGCTTACATAGCAGTAAGTCCCTGTGGTCCCCGCTGTTGCTGTGAAATCCTTCCTGGTAGCCTCCCCATGTCTCCTTCCTCTTTCGGCTCTCCCAGAAGCCTGCCTACCTTTCATAGTTTGGAACAGCTCAGTAATTGTGTTGGCACTGCCCCTGCCTGAGGTTCCCGGGTAGACGCCTCCATTCAGAAACATCGCTCTGTACCCTCCCCATGCTGCCACCTATGCAGTTTCATTGGTCCGAAGCTGCTAGAGAGCACGAGTGGTAATGCTGTTGTAGAAATCCAGCTAGCAGGTGCTTGGGCTCAAAAGGAAATCTTGACTCAGGCCACAGAAGTATTGCCACGGGGACTGTCTCTCTGACCTTGCCTGTAGAAGAAAGGAATTTGTGTTGCCAGCTGCACAGGTACACTGGAGCCACCCAGCTCCAAGAGGGAGGAGTTTCTCTGCCCATAACTCAGGAGCCCGGTGGTTTTTTGGCTCAAAACAATGGCTGACTCATGAACGTTCAGGGCACAGGTGCTGGCTGAGCTGTAATGGAGAGGCTCAAATCTTCGTGAGAATGTGAACAGAGCACAGCTTAATTGAGGCACTCTTTGAAACAGCAGGGCAGGGCATTTATGGAGGGTATTGTGCTCTAGATGATATCTGTGCTGCTGGTTTCCTCCTTGGCACCACTGCTGCCCTGATTAGCCACATCCCTGTACAGTCAGGTGGCTGGCTGGCTTAGTCTCTTGGGACATCGTATCTGCCCATCCCCATTCTTAACACAGGAGAGCACTTGGACCCTGCCCGGGAGGGTGTCTGGGTGCCTGGAAGCTGGCAGGAGCTGCGGGGAATACAGGCAGTTGGCAAGCACAATAGCACGGCTCCAGTTTTGCTCTGGCATCTGTGTGATTAGTGCACTCAGTCTGGTTTCACAGCTTCACAAGTGCACTCAGACCTGCTGTCTGGCAACATGGCCCTTGTCCTTTTCTCTTCCTAGCTATGTGCAGCAGGATCAGCGGGGAAAAGAGCCCAGCCCCATTTAACCTTCAGCCCTAGCACTTCCCCTTTTTCCCCTTCTTAGCTGCAAACAGGCCTCCTCCACTTGCTGCCAGGGCACTCCCTGCTGAGCAGCATGTTAATAATACAAACCCGTGAATGGGGGAGGAGATCTGGGAGCAGCCTGTGCTGCGTAGTGTCAGGTTCTCCCAGGGCAGGATTACCAAAGATGATCTCGGGCATCTGCTGAGGCAAGACACGTGGGGCCTATGGAGCTCTGCTTTAGCAGTGACATATGGTTAGGTGAGGATGACTGCACTGGACAAGCACGTGCTCTTCGGCTCCATTGCTAGGCTTTTCCCAAACTGCCAAATGAACGTATTGGTGGGCATCCAGGTGGGAAAGAAAAAGCCATGGATGGCTGCAGAGCTCGGGGAGAAGGGCAGGCTGTGGAACCTGTGCACATGCCTCAGCAGCCAGCCCTTTTAGTACCTGAAAGCACTGCTTGAGTGAAAGGCTGAGATTCACTGGCGAGGTTCACCAGTGATCGTAGACCTCTTAGTTTACTGTCTGCTTGTCCCTGCACTGGCTGTTCATGAAGATTTTCCCAAGGTCTCTGCTGAAACTGCTCTGTGCTGTCCACCACAGACTCCCTCTTACATCTACTACCTAAGGGAAGTGGGTGTATGGAGAGAGAAGAGGCCCAGGGGTCATGCCCAGGAGACTTCAGCAGTGAGACTGGATGGAGAGACCGCTTCTGGGGTGGTCATTACTGTCCTGGGTTGAAGTGACTTTGGGATGAGGCATTTAAGGGGGAGGGTCCTGTCCACAAGTCATGGTGTCCCACTGGTGAGAGGACAAAGGGTTGATATTTATTATCTGATCAGGAGTGGAAAGTCCAGCAGTTTAAATGACTTTTCTCTCTTTCCTTCCAGTGTGTCTTTGACGATCTCAGCGGCTCAGTATCGCTCTCCTGGGTTGGGGACAGCACTGGAGTAAGTAACGTGTTAGATAAAAAATGTGCTTAAAGGCACCTACCAGCTAACTACCCAGTGGTAAAGGGTGGATGAGCTGGTAGGACAGTTTGGAATTAGTGTTCCCCAATAGCCTTCTGCTGGAGCGTTCCTGAGAATGAGACACTTGCAGCAGCATCTGCATGTGCAGGGTCAGTCCTTTTTGGCCATATCCCCAGTGAGGGCAGACCTAACAGAGCTTGGCACTGATGTATTGACATCAGAAGCAGATACAGTCAAAGCAGTGCAGCTATCCAGTGTGGCTGCAATTCTGGTATAAAGCTGCTGGAATTGGGAGACTTTATATGCATCCAGGGACAAGCTAGTCCAGCATGAGCACCTATTAAGCCAATATGACTGCACCCCAGCTAGTCATACTGGTATAATATGATTAGTTGGGAAGCAGTCATATTACTTTCTGCCCTTTGTCACTATTACTTTCCAAACCAATTTAGTTAAGGCCAGCCTAGCAATCCTTTCCGTAGAAACCGCTGCAAGCTCCCAGGGGATTGTGCTAGCAACGATAGTGTTTGGAGTCATCAAAAAAGGGCTGGAAAGGACTATTGAGTTCAAGACCAGCCCCCTGCAGGAGACAGGATCATCCTGCAAAAAGTGTTTTTCTGATGTGCAGTTGAAAACTTCCAGTGAAAGAGAGTCTACAGTCTCTCTAGGTGTCTGTTCCAGGGCGTAACCACTCTTGTAGGTGCCAAAGGGCTTTAGTTTTAGGGGTTTTTTACAAGTAACCGCCTTGTAGGTGCAAAGGGCTTACCACACCGGAAACCAGCAGTGTTCTTCCTTCATTATGCTGCAAAGTGCTGCAACCACTGATTTCAAGCCCTGCTGTTAGCAAGTCCTGTGCCATGCAAAACCTCAGATACAAATATCTTAATTTTATAGGGTGCCTTGCAAACCCTCTGCTACATTCTACCTAGGGTGAGAACAGATCATGAAAGAGATGGTGGTCCTGTTGCTTAATGGATGACAGGAAATGGTCAGCTTCATTACCATGGAGTTGGAGCCAAAGATCCATCTAACTGTATCAAGCCTCCAGTCCTCTGCCCTGGTATGAAATGGCCAGCAGTTCAGCAGTATGCAGACCTCTGGAGCTGTGCAGGGATAAGTGTTTTTGTAACAGTGCCACTGCTTGGGGTAGAGCTTCTGCTATACCAGGAAAAAACAAAGAGGCCCCTTGACAGTAAGGCCATTCTTAGGTGTCTGTGCCATTCACAGCCCAGCTTGCAAAGCTCACACCATCCACAGAGAGTGGTGGTTCCGCATTATATTCCCATATAACTGGTATTCACTGTAAGGCTGTGAATGCAGGGTGACTGAGCTGCTGCCAGGTAGCATCAGGTGTTTGGAGGCAAGAGCATGTCTTTGTAGACATGACAGGGCGGTGGCTTTTCCAACAACTGTAATTACCTCTGCGCATTGCATCGGGGGGCTGTCAACAGTTTAAAGGCACTCTGCATTCCTGTAGGCTCCAGCAGAGAGGGGAACTGCTGAGCCAGCCGCCTTTCTCAGACCTGTAGTCCAGTCTGCTGTGCCCCAGGTGATGTCAACTGCTGCACAGCACTTTGGAGACTAAAGCACCAGGGCTGAAATCCCTGAGTCCCAGGTTCAAATCCACAGTAGTGCCAGCTCAGCCTGTCAGCTTCCACTAGCAGATGAGACCTGGAGCCTCCAGGGGTGGTCTGGCGTGGATGGATGTCAAAGGCTTGTTTACCCACCTAAAGCCTGAGCAGAATTTCCCTCCTTCCCTGCCTCTATCAGGGTTGTCTGTTGGTTTGGTGCCTTTTCCACAGCAGTGGCTGAATTTGTCTATAAAGCATGCTTAACGCAGAACTGGACGGGGCCATCTGGGTCACTGAGTCCTGTCTCTGCAATTGTAGGTAATCCTGTGATAAATGTTAAGGCTAGAAGGGTCCCCAAGAACTTCTGCTCCAGCCCCTACCCCACCCCACAAGCCGTAAAGCACCTTTCTAACAAACTAGGATCCTTAGGTAGGTGAAAGTGCAAGATAACTACCAAGTTCAGCTGGGTGTAGGGGTAAATCTAGTGAAGTTATGTTGTAGCACCAAGGCCAATGGCTGCATTGTCCACCTTGCTTGGTGTTCGCAGGGGACTGTTCCATCAGGCCTTCCACGGACTTGATTCTTTGGGCATTTATACACGTATCTTTTTTTTGTCCTGAGATGCACTGGAGATCTGGCAGGTCAGAGCAGACTCAATTAATCGAGCCTGCTCTGCATGCAAGCTGACGTGCACTGCGTTGCGCCGCATGCAGTTGTATAAGTGGCGAAATGCGTGTCAGCATGCAGTAAATGGTGGCAGTACGCTTTTGAACTAAAACACCTCCAACTTGTAGTTCAAAAGTGCTCTGCCACCATTTTCTCAGCGCTGATGTGCGTTTCGACGCTTACACAACTGCATTTGCAGCAGCGCTGGGCACGTTTAAAAATGCCCAGTGCTGCGGTGCAAGCATGCGTACAAATGCCCTTTGGTTCTCTTTGTTTGTCTCCAGGTGATTCTTGTCCTGACCACGTTCCAGGTACCTCTGGTGATTGTGAGTTTCGGGCAGTCCAAGCTCTACAGGAGGTGAGACCCGTGATGCTCAGTAGGTTGATTTGGTCTTGTGGACCTTGCTTCATTGGAGAGTTGCATTCTTCAGCTATCAGATATGAGTCTGCAGTTCTCCCATTTCTTGGAAGTCAGCTGGCTACACCCAGTGCACAAGGGGCCGGAAGTAGACTGATTTGCTTACAGGTTCAGATAGCCTTCGTAGGTGGTAGTAGTGGAGTACTTCTAAGCCACCATTTAATTGCTATGCTTCTTGAGCCTACAGAGTACGGGTCGGCTGGTGAAGTGCAGAGCCAGAAGTAATCATTGGGTGCCCAAGCATGCCCAGCATCTGCTTCTGTGCTTGAGAAGTGTACAGCTGAGGTCCTGCCTAGCCCAGGGGGGCTGGGAGTGTGCTGAAGGGTGACCTGGAAAGCCAGGCATAGCTCTGGCTATTGTGAAAGCTGAGTCTTCAGCTGCTGTGCTGGTTTGATAATGTATCACATACTCAGGATGCTCTTCTTGTACCCAGGAGGACCTTGTCCACTCGTGGACAGAGCAGGTCCTTTGTGAATGTGCCCAGGGCCTGGATGTTTCCATTCAGATCATTAACTCACCTCTACAAAATGGTGCCCCAGTTCTTTTGGGGCACATGCAGCTGGTGCCTGCATCTTTCCCAAAGATCTTTTCACTGATGTAAAGGACTGTGAGGCCCTTTGGAGACCAAAATTCCCAGCTGAGGTTTTCTCTCAGTGGGGTAAATGCCTTTTTTATAGGGGGGAAGCAAATGAGTTGGAGCTGAAGGCTGAGCAGTTGACTTCCTTGGCTTGCCCTGGTGCTGGGTTGCTGGCAGTCTCCTCCCCAGCTGGAACGTAGACCTTTGGGATGTGTGCACCATGAAAAGCTGCAATTCTTTCCCTGCCGTCTGTCTTTCTGATGGCTGCAGTGAACAGCTGCTTGGAGGTGCCGCAGAACATCCTTCCCATGAGGCTCCTGAATCCCAGCAATGGCCTTTGCAGTGACCTTGGCACCATGCTGCATACCAAGGTGACTTCTAGCATTGTTACTGTTTCTTTTTTTTCTTCTGCTCAGTGAGGACTATGGAAAAAAGTTCAAGGACATCACGCACCTCATTAACAACACATTCATCCGGACAGAGTTTGGGATAGCCATTGGACCAGAAAATTCGGGGAAGGTAGGAGACAGCCAATTATCCACTCCCCAGCCAATTAATTTATGCTGCGTTTGAGTCAGTGGGGAGGCAGGGGAGCAACCTGGCTTTACAGTGGAGGCTTCATTCATGCTGGATTGTAACATGTTTCTGTTTTAGGGGTAGGATGAAATGTTGGTTTTGAGTGGGCTGCTCTTACTAGTGTCCGGCATCCCTGGGTCCTGTACCCAGCACTGTGCAGACATGCCAGGAGAGCTTGGGCAAAATGCTTCATGTCTATTTACTGCATTTTTCCCACTCTGTAAAATGTGGGTAACACCTCTCTCAGGGCCCTGAGAGGCCTTTGGAGATCTGCTGCTCTGGAAACCACATTATAATTGTAGGGCAGGGGATTTCTGGGTAAATCTGAGTTGCATGAAGCTCCTTTTTTAGAGCAGGTTAATTCAGCACTTGCGTTCTGCTCTTCCTGTGGGCTGTGCCATGCCAGGGATGCTGAGGCAGCAAAGGTGAATGTATTGACCTCATTCCCTCTTTTTCCATGTTCAGGTGATTCTCACAGGGGACGTGTCTGGTGGGAGCCGCGGAGGGAAGATCTTCAGATCATCTGATTTTGCCAAGAACTTTGTCGAGACGGATCTCCCTTTCCACCCGCTGACTCAGATCACCTACCACCCCCAGAACTCGGATTACCTGCTAGCCCTCAGCACTGAAGTAAGAGATACGGGCAGAAAGCTGGGAACATGTTCCTCTCTGCTTCCTTGTAGTAATAACTAAAGAACCCACAAACCACATTATCGAACTCTTTAGCGACATCTTGTGGTATTGCGTGGTCTTCCACGGTGGGGAAAATAACAAGTTAGCTGCTGTGGCCCTACCACTCTAGATTTATTGGGTCACAACACCTACCTGTTCAAACCTGAAACTGAGAATATATTGTTTACAGTGGTCTTCATAGATTTCATAGACACTAGGGCTGGAAGGGACCGCACAAAATCATCGGGTCCAGCCCCCTGCCCAAGGGGCAGGAAGTCAGCTGGGGTCAGATCATGCCAGGAAAATAAGCCTCCAAGCATTTCTTAAAGGTATAAAGAGTAGGTGCTTGCACCACTTCTGGGGGGAGTCTATTTCAGACTCTGGAGACTCGGACAGTAGAGGAGTTTTTCCTTATGTCTAGTCTAAAACGGTCTTCCAGCAGTTTGTGACTTAGACCTGGTCTTCCCCTGGGTTGTCCTGGTGAACAGACGTCCTCCCAGTCCCTGATGCACACCCCTTATGTACTTATAGGCAGCCACCAAGTAACCCCTGAGCCTTCGCTTCTCCAGGCTAAAGAGTCCCATGGCTCTCAACCTCTCCTCATAAGGCCTGTTCTCTTGACCTCCAATCATGCGTGTGGCTCTTCTCTGGACTCTCTCAAACTTCTCCACATCCTTAGTCTTGTACTCACTGTTCTCAAATGCTCCATCTTCAGGCCCGATACGAACTGAAGTTTTCAGAGGTAGCTCAGCCAGTAACAATCAATCTTTCTTAATTCTGACTTTTTCAGAATGGCCTCTGGGTGTCAAAGAACTTTGGGGAAAGCTGGGAAGAACTCCACAAAGCTGTTTGTCTGGCAAAATGGTGAGTAGCCACACAGCAGGTGGGTGATCCATGTTGTTGGCTCTTTTCCCCCGCACTGGTCTTAACTTTTATTGTCAAATCTCCCACTCAAATGCTTAATTCTGACGTTGGTTGGGGAACTGGAGCTCTTCATGCTGATTCTTGGCCCCAGTGAGTGAGTTTCTGTTTAGAGGCTTCACTGAAGGACACCATAACTGGTTGTGTGAGAGAGTAACAAACAGCCCAAAGGCCTGGGAGCTTTGTGTACTGAGCATACATGTGATGAAACTCCCGTTTCTTTCACAGAGCACATTGACGTTCTTTGTGTAATCCAAGACCTTATCCAAATATTTTAAGCTGAACTTGTCTGTTCTGGAGCCTCCTGTGCCCTTTTGTCTGACACCTTCCTGGGATTATCTCAGTGCATATTTAAATTAAGTGTATGACTGAATGCAAATCTTAGACAGTCTTCAAAAGCCCTTAAAAAGAAAAAAGCACTTGTACCACCACTTTGTAATGTCAAGTACTCCTACGGATGCCCAGAGTGTAGTGGCATGTCTTACTGTTTTCCCTTAGGGTTTATCTGTAGATATAGGGAACACTTCAGACAAAAGAGCCTTGTTAAATGCTACAATTTTCTTAGCTTCCTTGAGTTTGAACCCTTCCAAATAAGCAGTATCAGTAAGCTTTCTGTTTGTAGAAGTAGACATGACAGGTCACAGAGATTTTTTTGCGGGGGTCAAGCAGCATAGCGGTGTAGAAATCTGGGTTTGGGCACCATGAGTATGGGAGGCATCAGCCCTGTGTCTGGTAAAGAATATTTTCATCACATGACTTGCCTGTACCTGATCACGCAGTGCTACAGTGGATAACCTGGGGGAGGCTGCTGTATGCAGTCTGTGCAGTACCCAGCTGCAGGTTCACAAGCCCCGGGCATGTTCCCTGTACTTTTGAACAAAAATACTCCGTCTCCAAAAGGAGCTGGAGTGATTCATCCCATGGAGGTGCGTGTTGTAAAATCCCAGGTCTGCACTGTCCATGGAAACTGTTCAGTAATGAATGCCTATACTAGAGTTTGATTGTGCCATGTCCTCTCTCGTTAAAAGCCCCCCATAAATGAGCCACCTTTATCATGCCTAAACACAGTCTTTGTTGCCCCTCTGTTTCTAGGGGAGCTAACACCACCATCTTCTTCACCACCTACCTGAATGGCTCCTGCAGTAAGTATTCCCTGATTTAATTCAGAATCATATGGCACTTGAGAGTCTTAACCTCCTGGTCTGTGTGAGCCTATAGACTCAAAGGAATCTTCCTTCAGTTTCATATCCTGTTAAGATCTTAAGAAACCTTCAGTTGTTCCTCACTGGTTCATTTATGCAAGGAGCAAAGAACAGCTCTGAATTACCCTGAACAAAAATGCTCCTGAGACTGTAATGGCTAATCTGTGTCTACAGTATGTCATTTGGAAACCTGTATTTCAGCGTCCCTTTGCTGTCAGGCTCTGTGTGCAAAGTGATTTAACTTGTAATGCAAATAATAACTTATGCACATCATTTAAAAACCTCAGTTACGTCTAAACAGCTCTTTCATAGGCCAGAACATCCAGAGAACTGTGCAGGGTGATGGAAAGCAGTGTGCCACGAAACCGATATAATGCAAGCACCCTTGTGAAACAGTTTAAAGAGAAACAGGTCAGATATGGAGGAGTAGGTGAGGGAAAAATTTGGAGCAAACAGTGCTCCTGGGCAGGTTGTGGGACTGCATTTGGGTCTTCAGCTGAGGAGAGATGCATGTTTACTGGACCTTCAGTGGTGGATGGATGGATGTTTAGGTGTTATAACTTGCCTTCTAGAGACCTGCTTGCTGCCAGCCTGAGATTTGATTGGCCTGGAGGCAAAGCTAGCTTGTCACAGGCTGCAATGCAGAAGTTCAGTGTGTCTGGTTTTAAATAGAGCACGTCTGCTATGAGTTTCCACAAGACCAGTGGGCATTGGAACTCCTGCCATCCAGCAGGCTTAGATGGCTCTGGCAATGCAAGGCATGAGTCCTGCTAGTAACAGGTGCCAGGATGAAAATGTGTGCTCCAGAGCAGACACTGGCGTTTAGTGCTGCAGGATGTGGCTCTATCCTGAGGGTGGAAGTGGGAGGGGTGGTATGTGTGGCAGTGTGTACACTGGTCTGTGTAGGAGGACTCATCACTTCCCTGCCTTGGTCTCAGTTTGGAACTGCAGCACCTTGATCCTTTTGTTCGCAGCTACTATGTTAATTCATGATTCCTTCTTCTTAAGAAGCTGACCTCGGGTTACTGGAGCTGAAGAAAACATCTGACTTTGGCAAGGTTTTCAAGACTATTGGAACAAGAATCTACTCCTTCGGGCTGGGGGGCCGCTTCCTCTTTGCTTCTGTGATGACAGAGAAGGTATGAGGGTCTTTTCTTCTTCTTGCTGGCTCTTGCAGCAGGAGCCCTCTGTGTTGTTGGGAGGCCATGAGCCATTCTATAAGTATGGCTGTACAAGAACAAGGCTGAGCCTTACAGAGCTGGAAAGAGGCAGGACTATAACTGAGTACATGGTTTTCTAATTGCTTGCCCCATTCCAGCACCCCGTCATGTTACGGGGATGTATTTTTCCTCCATCTTCTCTTCTTCTTGCCTTTGTGGTATGTCTTGGATGCTGATGCAGAGGAACTAATATACAGTGAAGTGGTGCTGCCGTCGCCAGTGGTTTATAAGCAATATCCTTTCCTTCCAGGGTGGTACAAGGAGGATTCATGTCTCGCTTGACCAAGGCGAGACCTGGAATATGGCCCAGCTACCCTCGGTGGGCCAGGAGCAGTTCTACTCCATCCTGGCAGCTAACGATGATATGGTCTTTATGCATGTAGATGAGCGTGGAGGTAAGGGCTACAGAGGAGAGCAGAGTGGGCTGTGCTAGGTTTTGGTAAAATAGCACATCTCTTGACCCCAGCATTCTTTCCTGCCATGGCAGGGAGTCGGACTTGATGATCTGCTCAGGTCCCTTCTGACCCGACCAACTATGAAACTGTGTCAAACAGGAGGGGATTGTTGTGTGAAGGCTGTGGTGTTCTGAGCAGAGATTTACCACCCGTAGAGGCCTAAGCATTCCAAGTCTGGATCACACCTCAAACCCACATCTAAGCTTTAAAGTACAGAAGCAATCAGATGACCTAACTCCTACCATGCCCCCCAGCTGACCCTTCTGCTTCACCCAACCATTGTGTCTTCCATGGAAGATACTCGCCTTTGGGGTAGACTGATAACAGTGTCTCTGCAACTCCACATTGCATAATCAGTTTGCAGAGTCCAGGCGCTCAGGAGAATGTGGTGTGTCTTGGAAAAGGTATTCAAGCCCCCTTGTGTGTAGGCTGCTAATTTCTTGATATGTACCTTAAGTCTCTTACTCTGGAAACATCAGCCTCATATCTGTGTTGTATCATTCAGCATGGTACTTCTGCATTGGAAACTGCTCTGTGAATCCTGCCATTGTGAATTTGAGGAAGAGATTTTTGAGGAAGAGATTTTTTTTTTTCTCTACATTATCTTATGGCCTTGGAGAATGGGAGAGTGATGGAAATACAGGTGCCCTTTGGTTTAAATTCCACAGGGCAATCTAGCAGCAACCAAAGCAGTCCAGCTAGATCACAAATCAACTTTTGGAGTTGCTGATGCAGTCAAGGTGTTTTGCTGGAAAACAGGACCCTTCTGACAGAGGGGCAGAATTAAGGTTGCAGAGGTCACCTTAATTTTGAATTTCTGGTCTTTCTACTGCTTGCGAGGCATTCTGAGAAGCATGCTATTATCTGTTGCTGTTACAGTGCTAAGGCTTGCCAAATCATGTAGCTGTGTGCCCACCCATTCTCGCATCAGGAGGAGCGCTCCAGGGGCTAGAAGCCTGTTTCCCTCTCTGTCTTTCCTGTGCAGCACTGTCCTCCCTGCCACGCAGCCACATACATCAGGGCAAGTTGCTTAGCTGTTGCATGTGAAATGTTTCAATTTCACCTCAAAACCAATCCCCAGAAAACTGCTTGAGGGCAGCTGGAAAAATAAATTGCAGTCCAGCCCCAAAAGCTTGAAATGAACATAATCTCAACTCCCTACCACTGTATGGTGCCCAGACTTGCTAGGAAAATCTGTCCCTGGCTCTCAAGCATATCAGGGAAAGCCTGCTGAGTTGCTTTGTGTATGGCAAAACTAGAGCAGTAGGGATCAGTGTTGGGTCTCTGGCAGGGCCTTTTATTATGAGGACTTCTCAAAGGCACGATTGCATTTGTACAGTGTTAGTATCTGAATGCCCCATAACCTTAACAGATTTACCCTCGCACACTGCTGGGAGGGAAGGCAGTGCTCTTCCCATTGACCAGATGAGGGAGTGAGGTCATGGGACTGATTTGTCCACAGGCCTCGCACGCATGACCTTGGGCATGTCCAACATTGACCCCAGGTCTTGGGGTTCCTCAGCTGGCACCCTTCCTACTGAGCTGTCCTGCTTTGTAACACATTGTCCACAACACCAGCCTGCAGCAATAGCAAAGACCCTAGTTCCTGACACTCCCTTCCACCTGAATGTTGCAGCTTGGGGACCAGCTCATGCCTCCTGACAGCGAGACTGTGTCCCAAACCCCTCCCCAGTCTTTCAGATTCCTGGAGACCCCACGGATCAGAAGGCTGGATCCACATGTCCTGTCCTCCCTGAAATGATGGGTCAGGGACTGGCTTGTCTCTGGAGCATGGAGACTTTAGGCTGGGTGTGACTGGAAACTGCCCAGGCTTCCTACTAGCCTTGGTCACGGTGGTTACTGTAGGGGTGCAGGACTGTGGGTGTTCCATCAGGCTGCCTCTCTTCCTGAACCGCGTGCTGCATGTCTTGTAGAGACTGGCTACGGCACAATCTATACCTCAGATGATCGGGGCATCGTGTATTCCAAGTCCCTCGAGCGGCATCTCTACACAACCACTGGAGGGGAAACAGACTTCATCAACGTGACCTCGCTGCGCGGCATCTACATCACCAGCGTGCTCTCGGAGGGTGAGTGTATGCGACTTCTGTCTGGAGCGGGACAGGCTGCAGCAGAGCACTGCAAGCCAGGAAAGAACTTGGGATGGAAGCAGAGCTCTCCCCGTGAGCTAGCTTAGAGGCAAAGCCTGTTCCTTCAACGCCTGCAAAACCTTGCAGAGACCCTGGCAGACTCTCGGGCTACTGAGGTCCAGGAAAGTCAGGGCTCGTCTCATGACTCAGGTCCCTTGTGTTTGCCTGGATTTGCCAGAACCCACCATACCTGGGTGGACTGCTCAAGGATGACCCCTTGTGTCTGGCTTCTATTACTGGATGCATTTTGCAGCTCCTGTTGGCTTCTGGAGTCAGTGGGAGGGCCCTGGTCCTGTTCATGAGGAAAGCAGTATTTAGCTCCCTCAGCTCCAAGACCGTTTTCTTGCCCCTTGCTCTGCTTTTCCAGTGGGGCTGATATCTTACCAAAACATCTTTCCCCTTCAACTTGGACATAAACCAACCTATGCACCGTGCATGCAGCATTGGCACTCATGGCACTACGCAGCTACAGTTTGGATAGCTGCTGTCTGCCCCCATGGGGCAGTGCAGGCATGAGACAGAGCTCAGAGGAGACACCATGAGAGGAATTCTATCCTCCTTTTGCCTCGAGATGGCAGTTTGCTAGCTGCCAGAGTGATGTTCCTAGGCACTTGCATGCAGGTTGCAATTCTCTTACCCCTGCACCGTGAGCACGTGTGTGCATGTAGGTTGAGCATGTGCAGTAGGCAACGCAGTGGCTGGGCAGCCACGTGGCTACGTATGTACCTGTTCTGGATGTGCATGTGTGTGTGTGTATAAGTAACAGTGTGGTTGGTCAGAAGCCTACAACTGACAGATTCTAGATGCCAGAGAAGGGTCAGCCTGTGCTTTGTCCCCAGTAGCTGAATAATTAGGCATTTGCTCAGGAGACCAGGGTTCTAGGCTTCTTTTGCCCTGAGGAGTTTGGTTTTACAGCACAATGCTCCAGCCACCATGCCACAAGTCAGACATTATCCAGACCTCTCTCCCACCCCTGCACAGCTAAGAGGAAGATGCGTGGAGTCAGGAAGAAAAGAGTTAAGGGTGTGCGACTCAGTGAGATGCTTCCTGGCATGGATAAGAGAAGGCCCTGGGTTCTAGCCTGGACCCTTTCTCCCAGTAGAGCAAAAACTGTGCTGCTTTCCATCCATTTAATCCAGTGGAGCAGAGGGGCTGGACCCAATGATCTCACAAGGTCCCTTCCAGCCCTAAACTTCTGTGAATGGCTATTAAATGCAAGGGGGGCTAGTGGCTCAGCTAAACGCAGGAGGGTTCTCCCCTCCCCCTGCTCCCTCCCCCCCAACTTTCTCCTGGACACAGGTATGTGCATGTGTGCTTTGCTGTAGCATATAAACACGTTTATGCATTCATGGTGCAGGGGGAAGTGCCCCAAACAGCCAGAAACATGGCTAGAAAACTCCTGTTTAGAGGCACAAAGGGAAACAATCCCACTGCGCGTGTGCGTGTGATCACATTGGCAGCTGAAATGCCGCCTTTATGCAAAAAGGGAGGAAATAGCAGCCATGCAAGGTAACATGATGAACAGATGGTGTAACTGCTCCACCAAGACCCATTGTGCCTTGTAAAGTTGAGCACTGAGGGGCATGAGCTGACTTTAATAATAACAACACTTGAAATGTGGATGCTGGTGTTTTGGGTGAGGGTAGTTCTTCATCTGTGCTATCTCCTAGCCAGCCTGAAGGGATAATTTCTGGAGCTTTGTAAATGTCCATTGTTCAGCTATTACAGTGCACCAGTTTTCGGAGTCCTGCTTTAGGCTGAAAGTCCTTAACTGGGTCTGTCTCAGAGTAGCAGTTATGACTGGAGAGACAGAATCAGCGTGGGGGAGCAGGAACACTCTGGGCCTGGGAAAACGTTACGGCAGAAATAAATGTGTCAGCTGCGAGTGAGAGCTCAGCTGTGCCTTCTGCGACACACAGGCTGTCTGCGTATTTCAAGGGGGTGGTGTGCCTGCTGGACAGATGTCTGGTGGAAGCTGCGTAGGAGTTAGGCACGTGGCATATAGTCTTGACCGTCTCATCCCAGCTGCACCTTTCTTCCCTCAGACAATTCCATCCAGTCAGTGATCACGTTTGATCGTGGCGGCGAGTGGGTGCCCTTGCGGAAGCCTCAAAACACCACCTGCGACTCCACTGCAAAGAACAAAGAGGAGGTTGGTCCTTCCAAGATCTCTGCCAGCCAGTAGGGGTGATCTTGCTAATTATGGGGTAGGGGAGAAATTCTGTCCAGCTCGGACTCAGAGCTGGCACTGGCCACATCCCCACTGCAGACAGTAGCAGCTAAGCTGGGGAGCAGACTATCAGCTAGTGGCAGACCTGGAGCGGAGAGTGCTGTGCAAAACAAGTCTGGCTGCCTCAGGCAGGTGGCATCTAGTACTCTGCTTCTGCTGACTTTACACTGTGCTGCTGTCCGTGGTGTAGATGTATGTCAGCTGATGAGATTTTGGCTTTGCCTTTGAAGACCAGGATGGCTCTTCTCAAAGAGTTCAAAGGACTTGTTCCTTTGTCAGAGTAGGAACCTAGCGTTAGACGTAGATGTGACGGATAGAAATTCAGCAAAATGTCTGTTCAGTTTATTCTCATCCCACCAGACAGATGTGTTGCCAGATTAAGATAACGAGTAAAGTTAGCAAAGGTTTGGAATATGTAACCATCCTGGCGTCTTTGGGTGGGGGCTGCCTTTCCTATGAATGCAGGCTGTCTAGCCTGATTGGGCACTAGTAAGAATAGCAGTAGCAGGAAAAGGTATAGAGTTAGCCCCAGAGCCTACCTCTGCTCCAGGAAGGAAAATGTGTACAAACATGGTGATCTGGTCACTGTTCACTTGCACGGGGTTAGTACACTGGTCCCTGGCTCTGCCTTAGTTGAATGGTTCCAGCATGGGAGCAAAGCTTAGGAGAGCTGTGCTGAGCCTCTGATCCAAGGAGACTGGTCGCAGAGCTCTGCTGGTTGGAATGTGCTGGGGAGAGGCTGCCTTGTGTGCTGTGTGGCCCCCTACACTGGATTCTCTCCTGTTTTTGTATACAGTGCAGCCTTCACATCCACGCTTCCTACAGCATCTCCCAGAAACTGAATGTGCCTATGGTACCTCTCTCTGAACCAAATGCTGTTGGCATAATCATCGCTCATGGTAATGAATTGCATGGGAAGGGGAAGTGGGAGGGCAAGTGCCACTGGGATTGTGTGGGCAAGGAGGAGGGAGCTTGCTTGCCAGCCAGAGGCCCAAAAGATGGGGTCTGCAGCAGGCTCACCCTTTCGGAAAGTTGCTCGTTCTTATAGAGTGTGGCGGGAGGGGGAGAAGAAATGTATTGCATCCTGCTCCATGGGGAGTGACCTTTCATATCTTGGTGTGGGTGCTGTGTCACAGGCAGCGTGGGAGATGCCATCTCCGTGGTGAGCCCGGACGTTTACATATCGGATGACGGGGGCTATACCTGGGCCCGCATGCTGGAGGGACCCCATCACTATGCCATCCTGGACTCTGGGGGCATCATCGTTGCCATTGAGCACAGCAGCCAGCCGATCAATGTGATTAAGTATGCATGAGCTCCACGCTGCTACAGTTCTTGGGGGAGAGGGTGGCTGGAAGGGGAGGAGGAGAAGAGGATTGGGTGGGCAGGGGAACCCTCTGGTTCCTGAAAGCCCTGACGAGCTGTAAGGACAGTTCTGTTCATGCTGCTTGAATCTGAAGGAGACACTGGGTCATCTTGGTCTTCCTGTTACCCCTCCCACACTGCAGTGTTTAAAGGAAACTCAGTTCTAGAGCAGTGTTTCCCAATGTTTTCTTACCATGGCCCAGCAGGAGCGGGACAAGGCGCGCACAGCCAGCTGCCTCCCTCCCGGGACTCTCCCGCCACCCAGCTTTAACCCCAAAAGCTCAGCTGTGACCCCAAAAGCCGCTCTCTCGGGCAGACAGATGGGGGTGCAAGCCGGGGGCTTGTGCCATGACCCGGCAGTCAACCCACCGCAAGCCCAGTACCAGGCCGTGGCCCCGTGGTTGGGAACCTTTGTTCTAGAGCAGTGACTCTTAACCAGTGTGCCATGTCACCCTGGGGTGCTGTGAGATCATGTGAAGGGTGCCATGAGGTATGAGGAAGTAAGGGAGGTATTGGGAGATAAGCAGATAAACTAAACAGAAAAGCCTAGGCACGGGCTTGTCCCTGCCTGGATGATCCCCTGCCCCCGCTGCCAGGCTGCTCTGCAAGGGCGTGAGCACTGTAATCTATAAATATTTTTTTGAGACTGGGTGCCACTCAATTCACCAAAGTCTTAGAGGGGAGCTCAAGTCTGGTGAGGGGTGCCTCCAAGTCCAGAAAGGTTGAGAACCACTGGTCTAGAGCAATCAAGGTTATTGAGATGGGGAGGCAACCTCTTCTTCTGGATAGAGGTTCATTTGTTGCTAGTCTCTGCCTTGTTGCTAGTAGTCTTCTGAGCACTTACAGCAGTAGGTCCTGTCTGCAAGCCAAATGATGTGTGGCCTATGTACTCCTTCATGTCTCCGCCTCTGAACACAGCGTGGGGGTCACAGAAGGTTGCATCAGGCCTCTCTGACTTGCTGCTCTCTTGTAGGAGGTTGTATGAACTCCCTGATAATTTTGGTTCCTTATTGTAAGTCTTGTCTGCCTAGGTTCTCCACAGATGAAGGGCAATGCTGGTACAAGTACACATTCTCCAAGGAGCCCATCTTCTTCACTGGACTAGCATCTGAACCAGGAGCCAAGTCTATGAATGTCAGTGTCTGGGGCTTCAGAGGGAGCTTCCTGTCTCGCAAATGGGTCTCCTATACCATTGATTTCGCTGACCTCCTTGTCAGGAGCTGTGAGTCTCTCTTGCCTCCTTCCTTTCCATGCGGGGACACAGGTGCTGAAGGGCTGCCTGCTTCTAAGGGGCAAAGTGGAGGAACTGAGCTGAATGTGAATGGGTGGGGAATGACCAAAAGGGGCCAAGGAATATGATATGGGGATTTCAGCAGGGAACATCTTAAGCTGCTGTGCAAGGACTGTGCTCCCTGAGCAGACTGGGTGCACGAGGGAGACCAATTCTGTACAGACCCCCAGTCAATCCACTGCAGACAGAAGCATTCTGGATGTCCCTGCTTATTTATTTATTTAGTGAATGCAAATCCACGAAGCCAAGAAATAGCCTTCTTGTTAGCTGATGTCCCCACTGGGTTCTGCAGAGGCCATTTCAGGGGCAGGGCAAGGCAGGCACCGAGTGTGTGCAGCCAGATCAGTGCTTCTGAACCACAGCTGCTCTGAATGGTTCTGGTTGTATCTATCCATCCAGCACAAACCCCTGCAGATGACAACAGAGCATGGGCTGGCATGCAGCTGGCAGCCTAAACCTGCAGGTGGCTGGAGCCCACCTCTGGTGTTGACACTGGGACCTAGAGAGGACAGTGTCAGCAGAAGCCAGTCCACAGCTGCTTGGTTTAGTACAGGGGTGGGCAATTATTTGGGCTGGAGGGCCACTCAGGGGGTTTTGGTGAGTTGTTGCAGGCTGGGTCAGCACCCCCACCCCGCAACAGCTCACTAAAACTCCCTAAGTTGAGGGTCACACTTCGCTCTCTCTCCCCTCATCCTGCCCAAAACTGTAGCACACCCCAATTCCCACCCCGACCCAGAACATGCCAGCTGCATCTGCAGCTTACAGCAGCACCCATCCTGCATGCCTGAAGCAGCCCTGGGCATATGCCAGCATCAGCTGTGGATGTGGCCAGCAGGTTCTGGGTGGGGATCAGGTCACCCACCCAGGTCCGTAGCTGTCACTGCTGTTCTAGCACTGGGGGGTAAGCAGTCCCTCCCTCCCACCCAGTGTGAGGGGAAACAGCCCCGCCTGCCCAGATCCGGCCCACAGGCTATATTTTGCCCATCCCAGTTTAAAAACAGGCCATGTGTTCTCCACAGCCCCAAGCCATCTCCCACCCCTCTGCAGGTGTCATAGGCCCCAGAACTCCCAACCCAGCAGCAAATGCCTTGAAGGCTGTTGTGGAGCACTTCCCCCATTACTTCCCACCTCAGTCCTCAGCTCTGGCTTACTGTGGCATCCTTGATCAGAGATTTGGGGTACTTCTTCCTGGTGATATAAAACATGGTTCTGGGCAAGCCATGTGGTGACTTTAGTAGAGCCTGTAACTATTTGGGATACTCACTGAGGCCGTGGAGTATCTGTTTAGGCTTAACATGGAGAGTCTGTGCTGACAGGCTTCTAGGGTCATCCTAGGCACTTGGTTGCCAGTCTGAAGAGGAGCTTTCTATGTTCAGTGCAGCAATACTTGTCTTTGCAAGTGCTTGTGCTCATTCTCACTCCCTGCATGATGGCAGCAACGTGCGCCATGGCATGGAAGCAATCTGCAACAGAGCTGCAATTGGAAAGCTGAAGCTCTTAGTTTCTAATGCCTCCCATGGTCCATCCTTTAGATCATCAAGCTTCCTCTGTGGGGGTGAGAGGATGCCCCCGCAGGCTCCTGGAGGGGCAATATTCTCTAGGAGTGTACTGAGTGGGAACTGTACATGGTGGGGGGAAGCATTGTTCAGATAGGTCAGACAGGGTTTTTCAGTGCCATGCACATTTGTTCCCATCAGCACTGGGTAGAACAGGGGGTATAGAGAGTGGCCCTGATATCACCTGTGACAGGGCACAGCCTGCTGCATCATGCCAGCTAGTAAGATTTTGGGCTGAAGTGAATATTTGTCCCCCCGGTTTTGGGTATGTGAGCCCCCCGCTCTTAAGTAGGTAGCGGTTGTTTCTCTGCTGTTGGCTAGGGCCATTACACGCAGCATAGCTGACAACAATCTGGAATCTAATGACCTCCTCTCTCCCAGGTGAGGACAAGGATTACACCATTTGGCTAGCTCACTCCAGCAACCCCACTAACCCCACTGATGGCTGCATCCTGGGTTACAAAGAGGAGTACCGGCGGCTCCGCAAATCATCGGTCTGTCAGAACGGCCGGGACTACATGGTGACCAAGCAGCCATCAGTCTGTCTCTGCACGCTGGAAGACTTCCTCTGGTACGGTCAAGCATTTTTTTCCCCCCTCTTGTCTCACGTGGCAAGGGTGAGTGCCCCACAGGGGTCTAGAACAGTTGCACGGGGGCAGATCTCTGCTGTATGGAGGGGACTGTAATGCTGCCACTTCTAGGTATGTGTGGTGCAGGCTTTGGCCCCTAGACTGGGATCTAGTGGTGCCACTGCCATTGCCTGTGCACAGTATCTAGATTCCCTTGCTGGTTCAGAGTTTAGGATTGCTCATGGCAGTGAAGAATGTGTCCATAAAGTCAGGGGTCATCCACAGAGGGTCATGGTCTGAGGAGTGCCCAGCTTCTTGGACAGCACCATGAGCCATATATTAGGAGCAATGCAAATCAGGAATAAGACTTGGGGGCTGCTTGGGGGATTCTTTAGCTTGACCCCAGCACAGACCTTGCTGGCCAGGTTTATGCCACCCAATTCCATTTTGTCTGAGAGGCTCCCTGGGATTGCATGTAGCAACATGCCAGGCTAGAAGAGACGGGTCACGCTCTGCCTCAAGCAGTCTCTGATGCTTTGCTCTCCTTTGCCTTTCTGCTGCCTCTCGTGCTACAGTGATTTCGGCTACTTCCGCCCAGAAAACCAGTCCAACTGCGTGGAGCAACCGGAGCTGAAGGGCCACGACCTGGAGTTCTGCCTCTACGGGAGGCGGGAGCTGCTGAAGACTAGTGGGTAACGTGTCTTTTTATAACCCTTGATCCTTGAGTGAATCCAGGTGCTCAGCCAGTGCTGCACCCAGGGCTTCCGGCATGCGGCACCGTTGTTGCAGGGAAGGCTGAAGTGAAAGGTGGTGGGCTTGGGAATGAGTGACAAAGAAGCTGTTGTCGTGGCAGCACTCCCCAGTGGGTAGGGCAGCATTGGGGTCCAGGAGGCCTGGCTTCTATTCTAGGCTCTGCCACCAATGCCCATTGGCATCTTTATGCACCTTTTCCCCCACTGCCCTGAAAGTTGGGACAGTGCTTGCTCTTCTGGATGCAGGGCACATGTTACTGGAGCATGCCAGAGTGAGCCCTTTCTTCTGCTGGATGTCAACATGCCATGGCCCAGGCCACTGAGCAGCCTGTGTTGCTTTGGCAGGAGCCAGCAGCAGCACTGTACTGGGAGGCTAAGAACTCTGTTTCCAGGAGGCCGTGGCTCTCAGACGCCCCTGCAGGATGCAGTGGGTGTGCCCCAGTTCGTGGATTGAGATTAGAAAGCAGCATGACTCTGCATGTGGTTTACAGCTCCCAGCCCAGTGGGGGTTATTGTGCCCACATGTGGCCGGGCAGTCCCTAGCCTCTCCTGGGCAGCTTCCCACTGTGCTACGGGTTTTCAGAAGTTTTCTTTGAAATTCCAGGTATCGTAAAATACCAGGAGACAAATGTGATGGTGGACAGAGCCCACCACGGGAGGTGACTGACCTGAAGAGAAAATGCACAAGCAACTTTTTGAGCCCCAGCCAGCTGGTAGGTGATCAACCCAGGCCTGGAGAAAACATGGGGTGGGAGGTATGTTACCAAATCCAGGCTGGAAACCTCAGGATCCTGACATTGCTGCTTTTAAAATAGGTCCCTTTGCCCTGCTGTCAAAGACTCCCTTGCCCACCCGACTGTCCTGTGGTAGACCAAGTGAGGGACACTCACTGAGAAGCCTTTGCCCTCGTCATGTGGGGTCAGATCCTGTAGCACTGCCTTCTCTTTAAATAGAATTGCCAAACATACTGTTCCATGCTGCTTCAAGGGGAGCAAGTGCATTGTTTCTCCAATTACCTTTCCCAATTCCACCTAGATGTAACTTGTAAAACTACTGAAGCCTTGGTCCGCACTTTGGAGCAGCTGTCATGTTTGACCCTTGAAGTGGCTGTACTGCCATACAAGATACTGACCAAGTAATATTTGTTGCACAGTGCTTTTTGCTCCTTGGCACTGGAAGAGTCTCAAGTGAATGCCAGTAATTGGTTTAAATTGCACATTATGTGACTATAGCAATGTTTCCTTTTCTCTCCCTACAGTCAGCCTCTTCCAGCTCCACACCCATCATTCTGGCTGTTATAGGTGTGATGCTCATCGCGATTGTAGCTGGAGTCATCATCATTAAGAAATATGTCTGCGGGGGCAGGTGAGGCTTGCAGAGGTCTTGGGTGCAGTTAAGCTGGGAGATGCATTAGATGGTGAGAACCCCTGGCTTAGCCATCTCACTCCACCTCATTCACGTACAGGAAGGCTTGGAGATGACTCCTAAATCAATTGGTTTCAGCTTTGTTAGAGGATCTGTGATCCCTGTAGGTAATGATGGCAGTTGCTAACTGTTCCACTATATAAGAAGACTTGTAAGGGCTATAAGTTTTCACTCAAGGTGATCTCACTAAACCAGCTGTGAGCTCGAAGCCAACCATCTGGAGATCATGCTCTGGTCTTTCTGGGCTGCCATAGGGCCTTGTTGTTTCCTGTCTGGCCCCTCAAGCCACATGGTCCTGACCAAGATGAGGTGGATTGAGTGTTGACTCAGTACAGTAATGTCCAGCTAGCATCTCAAGTCTCTTTGTGCCTTAGTGATACTGAGGCTGCCAAGAAAAATATCCGTACTTTACCACTCAGCACTGAAGCTGGAAGCCAGGCCTAGCTTTTGATCCTGAATGGGCCAAACTTCAATGGATCAGATGTAACAAGGGGAATAGGGCAGTCTAGGAGATCAGAGCCAGGAGTGTGAGGGAATGTTACTAGAGCAAGTCTGAAAAGGTGGGGAAAGTCCTGTGTGATACACAGCTCTCTTGTTCTGATTCCTGGAAAGGGAAGAGAACGGTCAGATTAGTTGAGATGCAGTTGGCTTCCTCCTGCATGAGAGCAAGTTCCCAGGTTGGATGGGACCCCTTGGAGTTCTCCATCACTTGTAGAACTGCAATGCAGGGCAAAGGGGAAACGGCATTTTTCCAGAGAAGGCTGTTGCATTGTCTGAAGCCTCCCTCTTCTGCACGGACCTGTAAAGCAGTGCAGTGACCTGCTAGGGGGAGTCCTCTGCTTACCTTCATTGCCAGCACGTTAATGCCAGTGTTGCCGCAGCCGTATTTGCATGATCTCATTAGTTTCTCCAGGCTAAATTGGTTCAGACTTGGGTTGGTGCCTGGATGGAAGGCTCCTAATTGGATTACAAGTGCTGCAAGAGGTGGTGATGGTGATGCTCTTCCCTCAGAGGCTTCCCGTGTTGTGCTGCCACCAGACGCACCAGGTGCTGGGCAGTGCTTGTCCTCTGAGATACAAATGCGGAGGTGTGGGCTGCCTGTGGTGGTTAGAAACTCCTTGATATCTTCAGTAATCCTCCACAATTCTTCAGACGCTCTTGGGGTTTCAGTGGCGTACAGATGCCTTTGCTTCCTGTCTCACTTGATCAAGCTCTGTTGAACAGTATTGTGAAACAGGTGCTGCATTTCCCTGCTGGCTGCAGTGTTTCCTTTGATAAGGGCCCTAGGACAATGACACTCAAACGTTTTAGATTGAAAGCCCCTCTTGTTAGACTGAATGCCTTTGGAGAATGCTAGCTGTCAGCTTTCACTCCTTTCTTGACTATGGAAAAGTACTAGAGCAATTCTTCTGTTGGAGATAACTCAGAAAGACCACAACCGATCAGACACTCTGGACTCCTATTTAAAATCTCTAGATTTATCTTGTGAATCACACAGATGTTTGCACGCTTAACGGGGCTGATAGGGTGGCCCCTCGCAACACTCTTAAGAGGATCTTGTGGCATCACAGGGTGCCACAGCAGCCTGGTAAAATATCACTGACCTAAAACCTTGCCAGCAGAACTGCTCTGAGATCCTCTTCCCAGAGAAGAAGTGTCCTACGCTAACATGACCCATGCCGGTGTGTCCGATTTCCTCCCAGGTTCCTGGTTCACCGCTATTCTGTCCTGCAGCAGCATGCAGATGCAAATGGCGTGGAAGGGGTAGATACTCTGGACTCGGTCACCCCAGCTAATAAAAGCGGTTACCATGATGACTCCGACGAGGTAGGTGATTAGTGGGTGATGCAGAGACAGCAGTGTCTAAGCATCCTCAGTACTCTGTGTCTGATTGAATCTGCAGGCTATTGGGAAATCAGGGCTTGGATTGGATGTGGGCATGTTGCTTCTTGGGAGAGTGGAAATAAGATTCACGGGGGTGGAAGGGTCTGCTCCCCAGCATAGATGCAGGATTCAGTGCTCCTAACCATCCTGTCAGATTCCCATCCAGCCTCTTCTCACAAACCTACAGGGAAGGGATAAGTATAACTCTCCGTAGCACCTTGTTCCAGCATTGCCCTGCTATTCTTACTATGAGGAAACTTCTTCTGGGGGTTGATCTAAATCTTCTCTGCTGCAGTTTAAACACATTGCTTCATATCATACCTTCTGTGGATTGAAAATGATGCGTCTTCAAAAAAAAACAAAACAACAACCCCCCTCTTAATTTCTCTGTGTTGCAGAGGGGACTGAATCTCCAACACAGTTTAACAGTGCTCCTTCCTTTGAACTGCCCAGTAAAACCAGTATCCCCATTGGAGGCAAATGGTGTAGTCCCAAGTACTTGAACCATCCCTCTTTTCCCAAGATGTCATCCCCATGTGGTGCTCCAGTATCTCCCCAACACTGTGAGCCAGGGATGCTCTATAGCTAACCAAGCAAAAGACAGGGGGCATTCAGGTGTTTGCTGCTACTGACCAGCTTGTAAAGCCCCTTTTCCCACCTGCAGATTGGCTGAGGGAACCTAGGATCTGAACGGTGTAGTGATAAGGTCATGGACATCTCTTTAGCCTATTGGAAAAACAGTTGATCTTAATTCTCTTGGCAGGAGTTGGACCCTGACTCAGAAGCATTGGTTTCTTAATGTTCTGTAGCTAGATGCTCATATAAAAAAAAACTCGGCTTTCAATAAGCTGTTCAGAGCTGTGTGAAACTAGTCTGTCCCTGCTGGTTTCCTTGCCCACAAGGAGAACAGAGGCTAAGTCCTGCCTGAATCCTGCAAACTGAACTCCACCCTCTGGGGTGGTGCCTACAGGGGGTAGAGGGGAATGTCGTCCTACTCATCCTCCTTGTAAATGAGGCTGCCCTCTGGGCTACAAGGCTATGACCCGACCCTCAATGAAGGACAGATCTTCTGTGATGGTCTCCACTCACCAGTCCCAATCACCACCCAAGGTGGCACCTCCGGTTCGGTGCTAACCCCCACCTGCCCCACTTTTTGTCTTCTTGGGGAGGGAGGGGGGCATGCTTCAGTGCTTGGAGGAGAATGGTGCTGGCCTGGGATTACAGAAAGGCAGGGAAGTTCCTTGTTGTCTTATGGTCTTTGCCCTGCTGTGTCAATGTGTGCTCTCTTCTCAGGACCTCCTGGAGTAGCAGCGCATCGGCTGTCACCGGCACTGGGACAAATGGGTTCGGACTCTGCCTCGGATCTGCAGAACAGCAAAGCCGCCTACAGACCATGCTCCTCTGCGACGGCTGCCTCTCCCATTTCTGAGGGACATCACCGTCCCATTGCTTCCATAGAGACTGTCCAAACGCAACAAAGCTGCAGGCCTGTCAGAGGGGGTTGGGGGGAACTGCTGCAGGGACCCAAGTGGCTCTGAATCGGGGCTGGGAAGATTTTAATTTAACTTTATTTTAATGACTTTTTTTCCTGCTGGGGAAAAAATTGGGGGGTTTTTTTGTTTTATTTTGTTTTTAAGGAAAACAAATCTGCTGGTGACAGGAGCATTGTGCTCTGTGCTTGGTATTCCTAGGTGCATTTCTCCCTGCTGCAGGGAGAAATCTCGTAACTCCATTTTAACCTCTCAGACTGATCTCTGCCATGGCATGTTCCTTGCTGACACTGCAGCATTTGGAGCTCAGGCTGACCCCAGCGGTTGTCAGGACCTCAGACAGCTTAGCCAGTCCCTGTGGGACCCTGGGAAACTCGGGGGTTGCTTTTTATTTAATCTTGAGAGACTTGCCTAGCCAAAAGCAGTGTGGGAGTGGGGTGGAAAGCTGAAGTGATACCAGGTTGGGAGCACTTGCTGCAGGTGGCCATATGGCTCCAAGGATCCAGGCTGTGAAAATGTTGTCTGCAAGTACTCGCTCGGGGCAAATTGGAGTAGGAAGAGAGAGGTGGCTTTTTTTTTTTTTTAGTTCTAGGAATAAATGCAGCAGAAAGCTCCATCCAAGCAAACCTCCCATGCTTGTTTTTCTGCTCTTAGGGTGGTGGGAATTGTCTGTTCCAGGTGGATTTGCTGTAAGAGGACGTGTGCACATGCAGCACTATTGCTGGGGATAAGAGTCCCCACCTTTGTTTCGTGGGGGCAAGTCACAAAAGACAGACCCCTTTTTTGTTTCTACCATGAATTATTATTTTTTCCTTTCCAAAGCAATATGAGATCAGCTGCTTGTTCACTCTGCAGAGCTGCTGTTTGAAGTGGTCACGATTGGCAGCTTGCAGGCACTCTGGTTAATGTGTGTGGGATCTTGCTGCCTCCCTTTCCCATTGCCGTTCCGTTTGGAGGTGCTGATGCCCCAGCAGCAGGCATTTCTGCTTGGCTGACTGCACTATGCAATGCATGTGTCCTTCTCAGAAAGCCCCATGTCCTCGGCATCTGACACCCCTTGGTGATTTGTGTCAAGCCAGAAGTTGGAATGGGCTTTAAGGAGGGCTTCTTGCTAAAGGGAAACTGTGATAACTTCATATTTATCATTAAAAGGGAATGATCAGGAATACCAGCCTGATGCCACTAGTATCTCTGATCTTCATACCTGACTTCTGCTGGGGGGTGGGGGCAAAAAGGGTAGGAGGGTGCTTTAATGGGGCTGTCACTTGACTCCTGCATTGGTGAGCTATACCTTAGGCACTAATGCAAAGAATGAGGTTCATGAGACTCTAAAGCACTTCTGTTTAAAATGAGGTTGATTTTTGAAAATGAATTCATATGTATGGCATTTTCCATCCCCTCATTCATTCAGCAGCTTCCCCTTGAGTTAACAAGGGTTTTCCCTTGCTGAGTGAGTTTGAGAGGCATCCATAGTCCTGAAGTTTATTGTTATTTTGTTATACTGGAGTTTTTCCTTTACGAACTTGCAGAAAAGGCCACAGCTTTCTTGTGGCCACTAGAAGGTGCCATTTCTCTTGGTATAACTGGGTGGTTCCCTCTAAAGCAGTGGAGTGGGTTTTTTTTTGAGGGGTAGGGCAGTGTTTCCCAACCAGTGTACCATGGCATAAAAGTGTGCCATCAGAAATGACAAAGTGTGCCGCAGAATTTCACCATGACAATGAGCTACAATAGGTATGAGGATGGGGAATGCCTTAACAGGTGTGCTGCGGAAATTTTTTATTAATGTAAGTGTGCCTTGGGCTGGAAAAGGTTGGGAAACACTGGGGTAGGGGGTTGCTTCATGCAAGGTGGATAATCTTTATCTAGCTAATGCCGGGGGTTGCTCAGTGACTAGAAGGCAGATTTGACAGGGGAAGCAGCCTGGTGTGTAATGTAATAGAGCAGATGAGAGAGTCACCTGGAGAACTTGGTTTAGAAAATCTTACAGTTTAAGACTGAACTGGGTTTTTGGAGGTGCTTTTCTCTTTCCTTTAGACTAACTAACTGCTAGCTCTGTGCAGCTGGCCAAAACTGGCAGTGGTAGCCACCTGCTGACAAAGAAAGATGGAAAGAGGCCCCCCACACACATCCACGATTTAACCAAAAAACTGTTGCTCTTGGGATGATAAATTTCCTGCAGACACTCACTGCCTAGGCTTCTGGGGCAGAATCGGACTTCCCCACCTCGCCAATGACTCTGGGCACAACCTCCTGCGATGTCAAAGCAGGTTCCATGCAGATGAACTGGGGTGGCCTGGTCAGACCCGTGGCTACTTTATTTGTGTTCTTTAGATGAAGCCCTTTTGACTGCTTGTCTTTGCATAGGCTGCAGAAGAAGCTGGTAAATGTTGAAACTTTCACCCAACCCCCTCCCTTCCTCCTTGTCCTCCCCACCCTGCCTTAACATGCCTGTAGAGGCCAGACACTGGCTGATGGAGTTGAGCTCATTCTTCCTCTGAGGAAGCCTGTGCAGCAAAGGGCTTACCACCAGCCCAGCAGAAAGGCAGTTGCCTTCCAGCAGGCAGTGGTGCATCTCCCCAAGTCCCTGTGCCATGCAACAGCAGCCTGCTATCTCTCTGAGCAGTGCATGCCCGTTGGGCTGCATCTGTCCCCTTGCCAGTAGGTTGTTCCCCCAGGGCTGTCAAGGGGACACAGTCATTGCATGTGCTTATGAAGCATCATCCCACTATTGCCTTCGGCTCGTCAGCATGCCTGCAAGGCAGATCAATACAAGGACTCTTCTCCAGGAGCCCTGCCAGTTAGAAGTAACCACATAATTAAAAGCCATAGCCCTTTCACTCCCATATGGTATCTCCACAAGGTCCAGCCCATGGCAAGGTCCAGGGGAATGGAACGGAGATGTGTGTAGAGTTCTGTAAATAAACCTGGATGTGTTATAACTTTGTACTGGTATTTTTCTGTATATTTGCAATATTTGGGTTAGAAATAAAAGCACCATTGACTTTGTGTTATCTCCGCTGTAAGCTGCATTACTATTCATGAGCCGGGGAGCTGGCTTGGCTTAGATCCCTGTAAAATGTCACCTCTTGCACAGTGTTGATGCCCAGGGACCTGACTTCAGCTTTGGGCCACTGTAGAAATATGACATAGAAATAAATATCGCCTGGAGCCAGGAGTAGCTTCTGGGCCCATGTGGTGTACTAGAACTGTGCTTCTATTTGGCTTTAGCCAGCCTTATGGACATGGATGTTGAACAGTGCTGCCAGTTTTGAAAACAGAACTCCATCAGGAAAAGCTCACAAAGTCTCCCGCTATTGCTAGGTAGACCCAGCATCATCGCTGTCCTGTCTAGAAAATCATTGAGAATTACACCATGAGAACAAATAGGATATTGTCACTTGATAAACTCAGCCTATTGAAAACCTTGTGCTACCCTCTGCAAACACCCTCATGTGATCCTGAGAAGTTCTCTAGACATGAAGTGATACATGTGAAAATAGGGGTGTATTTAGTAGCTGTGTTGATCTGAGACAAAAAAAAAATGCAAACCTCTACAGCTCTTGGTTCAGAGATATGATACCTTTTATTAGACCAACTAAGAAATCGCAAAAAAATTATCTTTTTCTGCAAGCTTTTGGGCTCACAAACCCAGAGGGACAGACCTCCATCTTCAGCTCCCGCTGTGCAAAAATGAAGTTTATTTCCTACTTATGGGGACTTTTTACCATCCTTAATTTTCCCTGAGCCTGATGATGGGCATGTAAGCCTGAAAGCTTGCAGAAAAAAGATTTTTTTTTTTTTTATAATGATTTCTTAGTTGGTCTAATAGAAAAGGTATCATCTCTGAAACAAGAAGTCTAGATTTTTACACATGACGATATATGCCTTTGCTCATGCCAACCTCCTGTTTATAGTGCAAAGGTTTCCCCAGTTGGCAACCTTCAGGGGAGCTGTGGGGAAACAGCATGGTCATCTTATGTTGGTTGGAAGCAGGGTTCCTGGGACTCGTCAGTATTTGATGTGACCCTTTGCCCAAGATTTAGAATCATAAAAAATGAGGGTTGGCAGGGACCTCAGGAGGTCACATCTAGTCCAACCCCCTGCTCAAAGCAGGACCATCTCTAACCATTTGCCAGTCCTATAGGATCCTAAGAGCTGAACAGGTCTCATACTTGTTCCTGTGCTCCCTGTCTGGTGTCTAACTTGAGACGACATCAGGGAACCCTCCAGGACCCCATTTTCTCCCTGTTCCCCCCACCCCAAAGGCAGCACTTAAAATCTATTGACTGATGCACAACTGCTCGCATTTGTGACCTACAGCATCCAGACACATTACCTGCCTCTCCAACGAGCGATGCAGGCTGGGCCGAGACAGGTGAGCTTGTCCACTGGTGTAATTCCCATCACTTTTGTATACAGATATACATTAGACTGCAGTCAGGATTGGGGAGGAGCACTTCTGGGGTTAGACAGGTGCTGTTATTACTGTACTGCTACATTGCATAGCATGGGAGCAAGTAGTATAGCCTGTTTACCTTGATCAAATGGCTTTCCTGGAACCAGAGGAAACCTAGACTGGTGGACATGACACTGAGGCTTTTACCCCTGATTTCTTTCAGGGATGTTTTCCCCTTTTTTCATTTAGGAAAACTTACCCCGGGTGAGGGGCTCATGTCCATTTTCTTCGGGCTGATGTAAACATGTCTAACCCTGCCTTCCACTGTACTAAGCATAGGCTGTAATGGTCAGGCAGAAGGCAGCGTGGCTTTGCACTCTAAATCCAAGACACCTGCAAACACCAAGGAGACTGTTCTGCTCTGCACTGTTCACGGCGAACACAAAGGAAACTACTTATGCCCTGTGGTTCTTGGGCATTGGATGTGGCACTAACCCCTTCATGGCCTGTTAGTACTATACACTATATAAGCATTACAAATCTCACTCAACTCTTCACTTAGCTCCAGCAGCAAACAGCCAGTCGGGCTGGCAGCACGCCCCCTACACTGGGAAAACTCTGACTTCTGGTGATGCATAGGGAGTCTTTGTCTTTGGTTGTTTGGGGAGTGCTGACTGCGGCCTGTCAGATCTTGGGAGAAGATAAGTTGTTGGAGAGGCTCTTTAATTAAGCAAGCCAAGATGTAGCCAGATCCATCAGCGGGAAGCTGTATTTAAGTTTGGAAATGAGATGCAACTTCTCAGCCACCAGGGTAATTAACCAGGGAAATGGTAAGTTATTAATGGGTTGACACCTGGCAGAAGACCTTTCAGGCTCTGAAGATACCATCCAGTTTGAGTTACTGGGCTCAATGGCATTCACGTATGTAGAAGAGACTAGCTTCCTTCCATGCTGGAATTGCTGCGTGACTTTCTCTCGTCAAACCATGGGCAGCAGCTTGGCTTTGCTTTGAGACGAACAGCTCTGGGCACCAATACCAAAAATTGCTCTGCTCCGTGTATCTCTGCTACTTCTGTCTAGGAGGTCCTGGGTGGACCTTGCCGCTATGCCAGCTAGCACTCTGTACTATTTGCTCGGTGCTTGTTCTGTTATCTATTCCTGCACGCTGTGCTTGTTGTCTTTGTAGCAACAGGCAGTAAAATTTCATGCAGCCAGTTCCTGCCCTTCCTGTAGCAGCCACCAAACCCAGCATCTGTAAATCAGTCAGAACAGTCTGGATTTGCTAAATGCTTTCCATGAGCTTCACTGCTTCTGGGCAGTACGTGTAGCTCCTTCCCAATGCCAAGACCGTCCCTGTTTCCCTGGCTGTGGAGGTGATAGCTTTTAATAAGCACTATGGGGCCTCTCTTGATGGTCCATGCTTATGCTGGGCTGTACTTGGGGGATGTTAATGATGTCTTTCAGGTCTTGGTGAACACGAACACCAGTTTAATGAAACAGGCTGTTTTCTGTGTCTCTGTGACGTCACCCCTTGAAAAAAACAGCAGGTTAAATCCGCTTCACCAGCTCCCAGGGGTGGAAAGCAGCCTTGGTGAAGACATTTGCAAAAATGGTGTTTGGAGCTATATGGCTCTGATAATGCAGGGCTGGAACCTGCCGTGTGTCAGTTCAAACACTATTTAACCTAATAGAGCTTGTGGCTCACACGGGGCCTTTGGCAGGTCAAAGCAAAAAGCTGTGCCTGTTGGCAGTGTTCAACCCTACTGCCAGTACAGTAGACTAAGCATGCATCCTAGAAGTGCTACCAGAACAGGAACTGACCCTCCGCCCGCATCCCACTGGAGCTGTCCTGTGAGAGCATGTCTGCTCTTTCTCTTTATGATGGAGCGAGGGAATCTCTGAACTCTTTTTTTAGGTTTTGTTGGAGGTTTGCTTCGGGCTCAGGGAGCTGGTGCAAGAGTTTTCTCTGATGGCTAAACAAGGATAGGAGCATTTGATTGATGCGCAAGGAGCTTTGACTTGCACCACAGGGGGTTGAGTTGAACAGTGTTGATAAAAGAATCTCAAACGGCCCAATTTAAACCCCCTACTCCCGCATGCCCAGGCTAGACTGCAGCAAGGTGTCATAATCTTAGTTCTCCCATCCTCCATGGTGTCTTTTAGTAAGAGGGGAATTTATGACTTTTTAAATGTATTGAAGCAGGAAAATCCCTCCCTTTCATGCAATAAAGATGTTCTCCATATATTAGAGAGGAGTAGAAAAAATAAGCTGTGTGACTTTTAGCACAAAAATCCTTGAACTGTTCTCTCCGAGTTGGAGCAGAAGTGAGGTGAGAGTCAGGGCTCTTGGCTTCTGTTCATGGCTCCAAGAGAAAAATGTCTCAAGCATTTGGAGAACAGGGACACGGCAGGCCCAGTTACTGGGGTCTGTATTGACTCACGGTTTGACCTTAAGGCTAACTAACTTCCCTTCTTTCCTCCACTTCCTCATCTTTAAAAGGAGTCACGATGTGACGGTGACAAGGTTGATGCAATATTGATAACGTACTTTGAGATCTGCAGGTGGAAAGGGCTGAGGACGGACATGGCACATTAGGAACCGATTCAGCTTCATCAAGATGAGCTGCTTGTGCAAGCCAGGTCAGCGACAGCAAGGCAAGTAGCCACTCGGGCCAGTATGGACCCTTACGTGGCTTGGAAGTGTCAACGTGAACCGGGACTGTGCTTAGCTATGCGACTCATCACAGTGCTTGTGTCAGCTCTAGGTGGCATATCGCTGTGTGGAAGAGAAGAGAAGCCGCTGAGATTCCCAACCTTCTGCCACACTAGTCTCCATCCTGATCCTTTACCGAATGGAAGTATTAGTGCCCAGCTCCACTTTGGCCTGAACAGACATAACGGAAATTAAAGGCACTGCACAAGTGGAATCCTGGCTGCCTGTGACAGCGGGGGATTCATGGCTGGGTCTCCTTCAGTTTGCTCATGTGTGTTTGCATGCAATGCCCTTCAGCACTGCATTCATAAGAACATGAATTTGCTAGAGCAGTGGTGTTCAACCTGTCGTCCATGGACCCATGGGGGTCCACAGACTATACCTAAGGGGTCCACGAAAGATGGTTATGATCAATCAAAGCATGTAAATACCCACACTTACAATTCAAAGGGGTCCACACCTCCATTTGACATTTTTTTAGGGGTCTGCAAATGAAAAACGGGTTAACCGCTATGTTAGAGCAAATGTTTATTAATCCACCCCTGCAGCACCAGCTCCCATTTCCTTAGCTGCCCGTATGAGATGGTTTCAAATGGGTTTGCGCTCAGAAGAGCAAAGACTGTTGGTCTGAAAGAGCTTCTGGTGGATCATGGCAAACAACAAAGCAAAGAGTGAATGTAATGGCGGTGGGGAGAGCATGAGGCCTGGCTAGCGCAGTGGTATGAAGCAGCTGTGCTGGCAGAACATGTTGCACAAGTACAGGCTGCAGGCAGCCATCCTGGGGGCTACCCCAGTACTGCCTCCTGCTTTCCCTTCCTTGAAGCTGAAATCCTCATGAGCAAGGCTGGGCTGTGGATTTTGAATGGACCCGGGCCCCTTCAGAGCCAGCTGCATCCAGGGCT